CTCCGGCGCCATTTTCAATAGCTTTTCTTCCCAGCGTAATTGGACTTCAAACAGAAGTGAAAGTTACCCGCAAATGATATATCCATTGCATGGAGTAAGTAATTTTGTATGGTATAACGAAAGATATGAGTTAAAAAATAAATCGTGAAGTATTCTTAGTGTTTTTATGAAAAATAGCATGCTCCGTCACAGCGGACAAATATTTCGATACCAGCCTGTGATTCTTTATTCCTTAAAGTATCCGGAGATTCCCCAATGAAGGTGAACAAATGGCTGATTTCCAGGTGTACACATTTTTCATATTTCATCTTATTTATTCGTTACTTTCCATTAAAACCACCATTGATCGGTATAGAGGCAGCTGAATATTTGGTAAAAATAAAGCAAGCAGTTGAATTCAGTATTTCTGTTTCAGCCGTGAATAATCAGATCAGTCGTGCCTTTGAATAGGTAATATATGCTTGCATCGCGTTGATCTTACTATTTAAGGAGTAACATCACAAAATCAAGAATTTATACAGGCCGAGCCATTATTTAGTTACAAAGATGCAGGCCAAGAGCATGGCACTGAACAAACCTATATGCTTATTCAGGCCCGTAGCCAGGATTTGCCAAGGGGGGTTCAGTTTTCAAAAATTTCCACGGGGGGTTCACATTTGACAATTTTGGCCCAAATATGGCTAAAATCACTTGAGAAGTGCTCAAAATGGTGAAAAACTCCATGATTTTGAAAGAATTTTTGGCCGGGGGGGGGGGAACGTCAGAACCCTGCGAACCCCCCCCCCCCCCTGGCTACGGGCCTGCTTATTTGTTATTTGTTTAGTTGTTGGTTGGGTAACATGTTTATGACGTTACAAATGATGCAAAGGATCTTTCAACAAATCAGTGAAGTCTATATTAATCATTTGTTTAGTTGTTAATGTGGCAATAAGTGTCTGACGTCACAGGTGATTGCATCATATTCCAGTCACGCCATTTTACGACATCGCATAATTTGAGCTGATTTTGGCTTCATTTCACTTTATTTGAAAGACTTTTAAAAATATAATAATGAGTCAGTATTTTTCTAAAAAAATATTTATATTCGAATTTGAGGTCAAAGTCCAAAAATTTGATCAACCAATTTGAATCACAATTTAAAGAGGTGAAGAAGTGAATAATTACAGGAGCAAACGTGATCAATGGTTCAAGAGAAGAACATCCAACTTGAAATGAAAGGCAAAACATCAAAAGAGGAGTGCTGAAAAAATCCTACACATTTCATTCAGAATTTTTATGCAAATTGCATGTCATGCATTTGCTTTAAATTTTTTGTCTTCCCCGTCGAAATTTGGACCAAGTAGTGTTGTCACGATGTGATTTATCGTACATCGATGCATTGGCAATTTTCAGTTAGTAAACATCGATGCACATCACGATGTACATTGAGAAAAAGTCAGAAAAGTGCACTGAAATCCTGAATGCTAATGCACTAAAATACCGAACAGAACACAGTGTTCGCGTTGACGCCGTTTTTTGCCATTTTTACGGAAATTTCAGAAGGTTGGACGTAAAAATCAAAATCAACTTACGTCCCTAGGACGCAAAAATTATAAACTGCTTCAAGATAACTTTTACTGCAGCACAGTAGCGGTGAAACATGATTTTCATCAAGATTTTCAAACTCACTACCTTGATATACGAGCAATGATCCAGGTATATTTATATCGACAAATCTGATTGGCTATCATGCCGAAGATTAACAGGGTTTCCAGTATGAGACATGGATTTAGATTGGTTCCGATATATTCCGGAAAATGCCGCAATCGAAATGGAAGATCAAAACATACAATATTGCAGAAATCCCCTGTGGTTCCCCACAAATTGAAACGATTGTTTTTCACGATTGTCTTTATCATTTCCACTAGAAACCATTATGATCTAATGTTATACATCAAGATAAATGTTTAATGATAGATCGAGGTTTTTCATCTAAAAGTCTTCAGAATAAGGAGAAATGTTAATAAAAAGAAGCATAAGTTCACGACTTTGACATGACCTTCAAGATCGCAGGTTTGTAAAATGTGAAAACAAAACTCTTAATTTGAGCATTTCCTTTATTCATTTCGGACTATTTTGGTATAACATTACTTAAGAATTGTGTAAAAAGGACCCAGTGATAGATATTTATCGGGAGGATGCATCAAATTACAATATATGTCATTTTTATCCCATTATAGTGTAAGCACTCTATTATCGCCCACTTTATTTTCACTTTCACAATATTTCTTAAACTTTGTGAAGAAATAAGAGGGACGCAAAAAAATTAGATGGGGACTCAAATTTTTCAAATGGGTTGCGTCCCTGGGACTCAGAAATTTTAATGGCCAGCGCGAACACTGGAACAAATTAATAAGAATACGCTGGTACATCCGGGAACTTCTAGTAACGGTGAAATGAAAGTAAAGTAATTTTTTTAGATAAATGGTTCATTTTGACTACCTAAAACAGTTTTAAAGCGAAAGAATATCAGAAAACATTGGAAAATGAAATAACGCCTGCTTGGAAGCAGAAGGGGCTATATGCATTTTTTAAGAAAATGAGATTTTTACACCATCAGAAGCAGATACATCATATCTACCTTGTGTAGAAATATCTAAGTAGTTTGATGATTAATAAAAGAGTTATTTTGTTTTTTAAAAAGGCCTATGTGCTGATATGCTATTTCTCTATAAGCTATAAGGGGCTATGTGCATAATTACAATGCAAGAAGGTGTTATCTGTCATATAACACCTTCTGGTTTTCTGTTTCTGGCTACTGCTACAAGAGGATCACTGAAGTAACCTGATGCCACTAGGTCAGTTTACAAGCCTATCTCACTGACTTCCATTCAGCTCATGTTACAACATCCAATGATATCACCTAACAAATAGCCTACAATGATTCTAATCTATCCATGTACATCTCCCCTTGTGAAGCACATGTTATTTGCTTGTCTGGTGTAAAATTAAATAAATAAGGTAAGTTTTACACTTTTATTTGATACAATATATAAACAATTATTTAACTTACAAAGATAATATCCTATTGCATCTCATTATACTCATTATTATAAAAAAGGGCATGACGTTTATTGTACCAATACCATAGGCATAGCCCCCACCCCCCAAATAAATTATATTTTGATTCTAATTTAAATTATAATTATTTTCCTGTTTATTTGAAGCATACAATATGTTACGTTTGTTTTTTAGTTGAGAAATGGATACGGTTGATATGGATATTTGGTCCGATGACGAAGCGTTTGCAAATATTGATCTAGAGCAATACAATTATGAGAATACGATCCCTGGTTGTTTGGAAAAAACAGGTCCAGATAAATTGGAACAGACATCTACTGATCATGTTGACAATGTCCAAGACCGTGTGAACCAGATAGCCCCTGATTGTGTGAACCAGATAGCCCCTGATTGTGTGAACCAGATAGCTCCTGATCGTGTGAACCAGATAGCCCCTGATCGTGTGAACCAGATAAACCTTGATTGCGTGAACCAGATAGCCCCTGATTGTACGAACCAGATAGCCCCTGATCGTGTGAACCAGAGAGCCCCTGATCGTGTGAACCAGATAAACCCTGATTGCGTGAACCAGATAGCCCATGATTGTGTAAACCAGATAGCCCCTAATCGTGTGAACCAGATAGCCCCCGATCGTGTGAACCAGATAAACCCTGATTGTGTGAACCAGATAGCCCCTGATTATGTGAACCAGATAGCCCCTGATCGTGTGATCCAGATAGCCCCTGATCGTGTGAACCAGATAGCCCCTGATCGTGTGAATCAGATAAACCCTGATTGCCTGAACCAGATAGCCCCCGATTGCCTGAACCAGATAGCCCCCAATTGCCTGAACCAGATAGCCCCCGATTGTGTGAACCAGATATCCCAAGATTGTGTGAACCAGATAGCCCCTGATTGTGTGAAGAAGGCAGCTCCTGATCATGAATTAGATATAACCCCCAATGTCCTTGATACATTGTTTAATCCACCCGGCTGGGATCAGAACATAAATCTACCAACCTTCGCAGGTAAACATTTGAATACATTTGAATAAAATAGCCCTAGTAATTGCATAACATTTTATTAATTTTGAAATAGTTCTAATAAGCTTATTTTGTAATAATTTGTTATACCTATTTGGAATCTATATTGTGTAATTTGTGATTGAAAAATAAAATCGATATCTTATTAATTCATATTATGGACAGTGTGTTTAAGATATTCCATTTTTAGGAAACCAAGAGATGAAACCTGGATGGTCTACAGAAGATGACACACCATTGATAAATCTAAAGCCAGTGCATCTCGACGGGCCTTCAGAATGGGACACAGAGGATGAAAGACCATTAGTCACCAATAAATACATAGGAATTGAAGAAATGAACAGTGAATCAGAGGTTATTGATGATGTGGACGCTGACTCTAGTTTTAATCCAACTCCTGCTGATATTAACTCAGATGATTCTGAAGCAGATATGTTACTGTCTTTGTGTGTGAAAAAACGCAAAAGCACTTTAAAGTCACGAGACAAAGGGTGGAAAAAGAAACCGACCAAGGCATTCGGTAAAACATCCACAACACCTCTGAGTAGGCAGAGCAAAAGTAGGTCCTACAATCAAGTACTTGAACCAAGAAGTTGCGAAAACTACAAGGAAAGTATGCGGCGTATTAAACGCAAAAGTCTTCAAGAAAAGCTAATAGCTGACAAGGCTAAACAATACCACAGAGAACGGTTGGACAATTTGCTCAATAGCAATGAGTTGAAAAGAGTAAATGTTGCTCCTCATGGAGACTGCTTTTTTGAAGCAGTTCTTCTGAATTCAGGTGAGGAAAACCTGTATCATAATATTGATGAATTTAGGCAGGTTGTCTGCTGGCATCTCCTTCAGCATTGGAACAACTATATTAGTTTTTTACCTGACATAAATCAGAATGATGAATCTAAGTTGGAAGTGTACCAGAGAGAGGTTACCAAACTTGAAGTTTCTGGTCAATGGAACACCGCATTAGCTGATGCTGTGCCATTGGCAGTGAGTAACATACATCAATGTGACATTACAATATTCAGCAGTAAACCCGATTATCCAGTGTGTACAATTAGGCCAAACATATCAATTGTTTCTGTCAAGCCAATTACAAGTACAATTCAACTTGCCTATCTGGCATTACCAGACAATGATCACTATGATTCTGTAGAGCCAACCCGTAGTACATACACATCACCGCTGAGCCAACATAATACTCAGAACTCAGAATCAGATACTAGTGTGTTGCAGGAAGATCCACTCGTGAGCCAAATTGATGAGCCTGAACCATCCAGTGCTTCTTCTGAATCAACTGATGAGGAAACACCTCTAGAAACATCCATTGTGACACCTCATAAAAGTGCCAACTATAACACACCAGAGAAAAAAGAACTAACGAGAAAAAGAAAAAGAAACGTAACCGAGTGGAAAAAGAATGTTAGAAAGAAGAAGAGATCTTCAGGCAAACAATATATCTCAAGTTCAGGTAAAGTAGTTCCATCAAGATCACCAAAATTGATTGACTGTTCAAAATGTCGATTCAAATGTACAGAAAAGATAAGTGAAGAAAGTAGGACTGAGATAAGTGAAATGTATTGGAATCTAGAAACATATAATAGGCAGCGTGATTATATCTGCAATATGGTCACTAGCAAGTCCCCTGTAAGAAGAATACAAGGTTCTGATCAAAGAAAAGCTGTATCATTTGAGTATTACTTTAATGTACATAACAAACGTGAGCGCATTTGTAAAATGTTTTTTTGCAAAACTTTAGACATTAGTCCGAAAACTCTAACGTATGCTTTAAAGAAAAAAGACCAACACGGAAATTTCAGCGGTGAAGATAGACGTGGTAAGCATTGTCCCTCAAATAAAACAAAAGAAGATGTAATTCAAAATATTAAAGCCCACATAGAAGCATTTCCAACTATGGAGTCGCACTATACCCGAAAGAATACTAAAAAGAAGTACCTGCAATATGACCTTAATATAGCTAAAATGTATGACTTATACAAAGAATATTGCAAGGAGAAGAATATAACAGATGTAGCATCTGTTTATGTTTATCGAAAAGTATTTTGTGAAAATTATAATCTATCTTTTTTTAAACCAAAGAAGGATCAATGTAATATCTGTAACAAATACAACAATTTGTCCAAAGTTGATCAATTATCCCAGGAGAACATTAAACTACAACAAGAGCATCAAGAGAGGAAGAAATTAGCAAGGTTGGAAAAGGAAAGGGATAAGCAATTGGCAAAAAAGGATAAGGGGTTGTATGCAGCTACATTTGACCTTCAGGCAGTGCTCTCAACACCATGTACAAATGTGTCACTCATGTATTATAAACGTAAGCTCTCTGTATACAATTTAACAATTTATTCACTCGCTGATGCAAAGGTTGACTGCCATGTGTGGGATGAGTCCCAAGCTCGTCGTGGTGCCAATGAAATAGCTACCTGTCTAGTTAAAAACAGCAAGTCAATTTGTTTATCGAATAGAAACCTTAAAAAAATAACCTATTGGTCAGATACCTGTGGAGGCCAAAATAGAAATCAATTCGTTGCAGTGAGCCATTTACACTCAGTTACTAATATACCTAGCCTTGAAGAAATTAATCATAAATTCCTTGAATCTGGTCACACGCAAATGGAGGTTGACTCTGTTCATTCAAACATTGAACGTGCAAAGAAAAAAACAGAAGTATTTGTTCCAAGTCAGTGGAACACTGTCATCACCCTTTCTAGAAAAAACAATCCTTATCTTGTTGTTCCTTTAAAATACAATGATGTCAATGACTGGAAACAGTTTGTCAGAAAGCAGTGTTCAAACTTAAAGTTTGACATCAATTCCAAGCGAATAAACTGGTTAAAAATAAAATGGATTAGAGTGAAAAAGTCCTCCCCAAATAGTATATTTTTTAACAACTCCTTCAATGAAGATGAGTTTATGGAAGTAAACGTAAGAAGTGGGACCAGAACTAAAATAGGAAATCCAGGAAAATGGATACATGGTCCAAATCAACTATACAGTCATAAATTACCAATATCATCAGCAAAAAAGAAAGATTTGTTATCACTCTGTCAAAGCCTAACCATTCCTAATGAATTTCACCCCTATTTCTCATCTCTTGAAGTTGACAGAAAGCTTTCTGACAAAATTCCTATGAACGTGTCTGACTGCTCAGATGATACAGACTCTGACTTCTAAATCATAGTAATATTGAACTTAATTAATAAAGTGTATCTCATATTAATTCATGTGATTTGAATGTATGTATATTTATATCCTGACATCTCAAATTTGTGTACAATATCAAAATGTATTTTACGATGAAATAAAATGTATTATTCAATGTTAAAATTTAAATATCTTACTGTTCCATAATGAAATTGTACAAGGGCAAAATAAGAGAAACAATGCATTAAAGTGACAAAATGTCAGTATCAAGACTGCTATTGTAGTGTGACATAAATCAGTTGGTGACTATAACAAAGAATACCCTGCTTTTGTTAGAGACACAAAAATATTCTATGAATGAAAACATCTAAAATATCTGAATAAATTATCACAAATAATAATATGAAATGGAACTTTGATTTGGTTTAATGAAATAATCAAACATCAATGCATAGCAGGATAAAATGAGCCCACTCCAATGAATATCAAGTAAAAAATCCACAATGCTAAAAGGAGTTATCTACCAAATAGACCCTTTGCTTATGTATGACAGCATCATTTGACAATGCAAGAAGGTTCTATGTACCACATAGCACCTTTTTGCGTTTAACATTTGTACTAATTGTTAAAAGCCAAAAGGTCCTATGTGCAAATTAGTGAATATCTTTTTAATTAGGTAACCTTTCACAATGGACACTTAACACATGTTAGATATTATCATTCTGAATGTTTATGTATAAAAATTATATGCAATATCCATATACTTGAATTCATATTGGGTTTCAAAGTTTGTTTTTGCATTTTCTCAAAATCAGAAAAAGTGCACATAGCCCCTTCTGCTTCCAAGCAGGCGATAAGACATAGAAAGGTAAACGATTTGCGTCAAAATAAGATAAGAAAGGGTGATTTTTAGCAAATTAATTTTTTTTAAAAACATGGATGTTTTGTTTCAGACATCGATGCATCGCCAGAATCAGCTTTGGCGATGTACATGTACATCGCGGTGTATCGATTAAAGTGGGGTTATCGACTGCCGAGTCGTATCCAATGATCCTGGGCCTATCGTAAAATGAAAGCTTTAAATATATTGTTGCCTTAAAAAATGTATCTATTTTCCATGTATGCAACTAGAATTTGTGCACATACCTTATATCGATCGATAATGGCAAAGGAAAATCCTCCAATTTTTTGTCTTCCTTTCTCCTTTCGTGTCCGCCATTTTTTATTAAACCGGAAGTTTGTTCTCTGTGTCCGCGCAATTTTTTTTCACTTTTATTTCAAATAACGCTTCAGTTTCAACTTTTAATGCTTTTTTATAATCGTCAAGTGTTTTCTATAAGAAAGTTTTCATAAAAAGACTCACACTGTCAGAGATTTTATCGATTCGAGCGGCCAGAAAAATTAGTTTCAATTTCACCGGCTAGGTGTTTCGACTTCGACTTGGAAAGAATTTGAAAAAATCTATGAGTGGGACTCCTTGTATGGAATTGTAGATTCTAAATGATTTGCCAGTTCTACTGGTTGATGAATATTGCCATATGCATACATTTTTATAAAATAGGAATAAGGAAGAAGATGTTAGACCAAACTTCGCCCCGATAGCTCAGAAAAGGTAAAATTTCTCCATTTTTCACTCCACAGACTTGTAGAGCCGCTTTAATCGCGACGCTTTAATCGCGACAACACTAGGACCAAGGTGTTTAGATTTGGACCAGGTGTTCACAATTTGAAGGAAGATGTTCAACATTTGTAAGTTACTTATTTAGGTGCTCCCAGGTTGACAGGCCTGTATTTGAGACATCCACAAGTTCAAGAAAAGTCCCAAAAAAAGTTCAAAATTGGCAAAAAATCAAAAACAGCAAAGAAATTAACTAGCCTACCTTGGAAGTTTAGTCGTCGTCGTACGACTGATACTGCAGCTCCTATCATGTCTAAGGTAGTGCTTCTTCCCATTGAATGGGTAGTTTACAGTTTTAAATTGTAAAATGTTGAAGAAGTATTTTTCACAAACGTGTTGAATTTTTGTAGCCATGGGGTAGTCTAGAAGTCAAACTATATGTGTAACATAATCTTTCGAAAACAAGAGAGAGAAAAATTAAAATGGTGAATAAACCTCCTAATAGAGTCTCTGAGTATCAGATATGATTTTATATAATTATCAAAAAATAATTTATTGTAGTTGATCTGTTAAAAAGCGAGCCTAAAATTTTAATTCGTTCTAAATATACCAATTCAAGTTTGACATGCCGAGATCTCTCACGGCCGCCAGAATGTCTGCGAATATGATCTAGAGATTGATGCAAAGATAGGAATGTTAGGCAGACGGCAGTGTCTAGACGACTAAGTAGCCTATTGTCTAGACTTTCTTGTGATACATACTTTAGTTTTGGGAGTCAGAGAAATATTCAAGTTCTTCAGTGCAGCCCAGGCCGGGCAAGCACTTGCCTTGCACTTTGAATTTCGCAGCAGGTAACTTATCTAGACTATAGCCTAGATCTAGCCATAGGCCTATTCTGTGGGGGGGGGGTTAAAGATCCAATTCTAAGCCAGGTTTTGGTAAGTTCACATTCGAGAACTGTTAAAGTGCGGTTCCAGGGGGCTAGTCGATGCCCCCCCCCTTGAGTGGGCCCAGAAACGTTTTTAGGGCCCCAAAATATATTTGGCCAACAAATTTTGCTGGGCCTCCACTTACCCTTTGCATTCGTTTGACTTCACTTCTTAAAAGAGAGCTTCGTCTTCACTCTTTCAAACTAAAATAAACC